CGCTGATATTTACACTTTACAAAACACTACAGCACACGTTAAGTCTTTTCAGTCTGCTGTGTCCCCACAAGTCGTTGTCTGGTAGCGGCTCTAACAATGGAGATTATTCAGCTTCCGTTCTCAACTGCACCGAATAAGTCTCTTCACATATTATCTTACAGATCTCTGTACCACTGACTAACTTCTAAACTGGTCCCATTGATAAGCTGTTTGCACGGACTGCGTAGAAAACAGTATATTGTACCTCAATCGTTTTACTTGGAACATGTTTGTTTACAAAAGCGTTACTCAGTAGCGGAAACGTATACTTGCTTATTAAAAATCCGTTGCCTAGCAGCAGATGTTGTTTCGTTGTTTGTTTCGAGTTCGTTATCCAGTAACTGACCTACACGCTACAGTACTATTTTTCCTTGTTTCCTTTATCAGTGACCTCTTCGCAAAATGCGTTCGAGGTCAAAGTGGGGAAGACATGTCGCGGATGCTGTGTACCAATATTTATGAAGGAGTAGAAGTTCTCATAGCGGTGGTTATGAACAATACTATATTTGTTGATATAACGCATGTAGTTCGTTGAATGTCAACCCACGTTTCGGAGGAAAATATCGCTTCCATCTTCAGGGTCGAATAAGCCGAGCAAGATACCAGCGTGAAAATCTCCGCTTTCACTATGGTATCTTGCGTAGCGGTAGAATAGTTGGTTGAGGCATTGTGCTACAAGCCGGAAGGTTGCGAGTTTGATTCCCGATGAGGTCATTAATTTGTCAGTTGACGTAATCCTTCCAACTATTTGCAGTGGAACGAGGAGCGTGGGGATAGTTACGAATTATCGTTGCAGAAGCTGTCGTTGTAGTTCTTCCTAATTTGCTTAGAAAGCTTGCAAGAAGGTTCCTATGTAGAACTCCAGAAGTCGATAGTCAGAAGAGGGATTTCCCTCTGTTAAATTGTCAGTATTGTTACTTTTGTTTCCGATAAACGTTGATATTTGCAATCGAACGGTCTCATGTGAATGTAGACTTGTATTCGTGAGGTACTCGTTAGAATTTCAGTGAAATTTCCAGCTAACCTGATTTTCTCAGTCTATCCAGGCGATAGGCCGTTACCGCGTCTTTCGAAACCTTTGCATATTCATCAGTTTCTGTTGTATGCAGCGCAATACTGTACCCCTGAAGACAAAGTAGTGTCGAATCACAACACTTGAATGAATCTGACATTTGTACGTATATAGATGTATGTTTTTAGGAACGTACTGCTCACTTATATCATGACGCTCTCGGTAGCTCATGCTGTATAGTGTCGAATGGTAGGATTAGTGAATTAATTAATTAATTCGGAAATGTGTGAACGGAAGCGGTAATAACCCAATTACGGGTATCCTTCCGGCAGTCGCATCGAATAACTGAGGAAAACCACGAAATCCTAAAGGATGATCAATGTTGTGGCCTAGATTCGAACCGGGTTACGAAATACGTGTCAGTGTTGCTGCTGGAGCCATCTTGCCTGGTGGCTCTTACTGATCATGCGCAGAAGAGTTGTACAAGTTTGCCCGTCTGACCCCGGGTAATTGTGCCTCTCTGGATAGCACGGAAGGCGAGTCAGTTGCTTTGCATAACAGTACCATATTTGTTGAAACTATGAGTATTTTTTCTTGTACTGAACTATGTTTGCATACTTAACTTTTCCCTTTAAGACGAAGGTCACTGCTACTATTAGATTTTTTTACAGAGAATCTTCTGGCAAGGTTAGGATTAAGAACGAGGGGCGAAAGCTTTGTAACTAATAAAAATTGGTTTATTGTAGAATGTGGTCATGTTTATTGGGGGGAGTCTGTACGCACAAACACACGCACACATAGAAACGCACGCACTTCAGTCGGTCCTCAACCTATATCTAAACTGGTTTCCAGCACGCAAACCTAATATTTTTGCCGACTTTGGAGTGGATTTTATATAGGTTGCTCGCAGGGTTAAACATAAAAACGTATGTTTGTTGTGTTATTAGTTACTTCCTTTGATTGCATAGTGAAACATCTTGAGCAGTTTGTCGCGTTCAATCCAGCAAATATTTCCTGACGCGATTAGCATGCTAGCACATGATGTAAAGGGCAGTTGTATGGCGGTATGTAGGAAGTAAGGGAAGAAGGAAAGGAAGTACTAAAGAAGGGGAATCACGAAAAAAAAGGAAGAACAAAAGAACCAAACAGAAGTAAGATAGATTTT